CTGGGGGCTGGTGAGGGAGGGGGCGCCAGCCTGTTCGCCCGGCTCGCGCGCCTGGTCGTTGCGGGCCGGTGACATGCCTGTGAGCTGCGGAGGCTGCGGCCCCAGGTGAGCCAGGGGCGGACTACCTTGGGGCGTAAGCAGCGCTTTGGCTGGGGTGGCGGCGGGTTGTGGGGCCGGGATGGATGGAGCGGCCCGGCTCCGGCGCCCCAGCCTCTCCGCCTGCCCGCAGTCCTTGCTCTGGCTTCGGGGCCGCCCGAGAGCTGCGCCTTCACGCGGCAGCGGGAGGAAGGCGGGAGGAGCGGAGCAGAGGGAGGAAGCCCAAGGCACTGGGCCCGGAGGGGAGGAGGGGTTCTCGAGCTCGGGACGGGTCTTTCTGGGGTCCCGAGTGTGGCGGTGGAGCTGCAGCCCCTTTGAATGACAGGCTCAGTTTCCACCCCCCAGGTGGTCTTTAGAGCCGGGTCCCCAGGGTGCGTGCTGGTGTGTGTGCTCAGTTTGCGTTCGTGCAGTGCGCACAGGAGCATATGCAGGAGGAGGAGGACGTTGCACTTTGTCGCCGAACAGCAAGCATCCTTCACTGTCAGAACGCTGGAGCCCTGGAACTGGTCGCAGCTCAAATCTTGTGACAGAAACGGAAGGCATCAAGCGGGTTCCTCGGAGTTTTGATATTTGCAATTGCTGTCAAACACTCCTAGGATGTTAACACTCTTGGGCTGTTAATGGCTTAAATGCTGGCCATAGAGTATTAGGAAGGGATTGAGTATACTGCTGTTATTCCAGTCATCTAAGCTGCTTTATAAAAAATATGTAGATGTAACTGAAGTACTTAAAAAAAAAAAACTTTGGTATATGACAGTGACAGTAAAAATCTAAACCACCACAGTGGTATGACTTGGTAACGTTTCGCTCCCGCCCCTGCTTTCCCTCTCCTGTAAAATCTTATTAAATTCAAGGTGGTTTTGCTTTAGATGTTAGGGAATTTCATGGTGGCAATACTGCTGAGACGCAAATCTGATGGCCTTACTGCAAACTGGAGTTAAAAATTTCTGTTCTCTTTTCAGCTTTGTAATTATTCAGTCACTTGCAAAATGCTCAAATTTCCTTCAGCTTCTTCCCACCTTGTTAGGAATGTTATGTTGATTGATACTGATTTTGCTGTGTCTGAAAATACTCAGAAAATAGAGTACCACTCAAAAAAGATGTACTCAGTAGTTCAAAGATGATTTTGTTTTAATATCTGATTTTAGAGTAAATGTCAGGCCAGTTCCCTGCATGATTAGTGTCACTTAAAATAGTGTAATTTGACGAATCTTTTAAAACACAGTCACGTTTTTCAAGTAGTACCCTGGTTATTTATACTTTTTTATGTTCCTTCCAGCAAAACTGTGATGGGGGTGGACAGTGAATTTTACAAGTAGTTGTAGCTATGAGTAACAGTGATTTATGAGAGATCAGAGAATGTGAGGGAGTCAGGGAAGAAGTGGGTTCTCAAGCTGAGCTAGTGACTAGTGTATGTACCCATATAACTGCACTATTGATAAGATTGATAAGGGCCTAATGGTAAAATACTAAGCCAGTGATATTATTTCACAGATGTTCATGATAGGGGAGTTGCCTAAGACCTGGAACCGCAGTGAGAAATTCTCTGTCCTTCTTTAGTCTCTGAACTCCAGGGATAAGCCTAGAAGCTGAAGAAGTCCTCCCTTGCCTTTAGAGGCTGGAAAAAGGATCATCCTTTTAATAATTTTTTTTAATTTGAGGAACTTAACTGTCTGGAAAAAAACTCAAACCAATTCAGATGATACACTAAAGGCCACTTTAGGGGAAATTTCCAGTTATAAGTAGGTAGAAGAATTCTGTCTATACTTGAAAAAATGTGAAAAACTTAGAAAATATCTCTTCGTGAATGGGCAAAGGAGAGCAATCTAGATTAGAAAAGTCCTTATCATTCCATCTTGGCAAACTGATTTACAGAGATAGAAAAATAGAATTTTTTGCTGGTCTTTATAACCTTTTGGCAAGGGTTTTAGACTTTTAGGGTAGACTGGACATGATAAAAGGAGAAAAATGAACATTTTTTGATTAGTCTGAAAATGTTTCATGGGAAATAAGGTAAATGGTGTAGCAGCCTAGAACAGAGAGGATGTTACACGAGTGCAAATGATGTATAGTGTGAAAAGTTGGGTTTTGGAGTCAGACAACTAATATCTGTTAATTAATATATTTGAGTCTCTTCTTCCTTATCCTTGAAATGAGAGTTAAGAAGTTAGTGCAAAGCACTTAGTAGCTGCTTACTCAGTGTTTTTTCTTTGATCTCCCTTAATGGCTTGAGGATTATTTGGCTGCAAGGAACAAAAAGCCATTTAAATTAGCCTACTTAAAAAAGGTATTTGTCATATGAAGTATATCATGTGATTCCAGCTCAGGCAGTTACTTCAGTTTTTCTCAGGAAATACATGGTCTTATATCACTGCTATACTCACTGCAGTTCTATTCCAGTTTCTTTCAGATTGGCCTTCTCTTTAAATCTGTTGGTTTCTGCATCGCCATAGCTTTGGTTTGTATGAAACTTTCGTTTTCCATGGTGCCACACCAGACTCACTTTGACTTTGTGACATGGTTCTCAGTAAATATCTCCAAGTCTCAATTCTACATTTCTGGAGAGAGAATTTAATTGGTCAGGTATCTAGTCCAATTGGCTGGGCGCGGAGGAAAGTGGGAATGGGAAAATGTATGGGGAGGAGACTTAGGTGTGTCTTGTAGCTTGTAGGGCTGTGCTTTTTAGACCGGCCACAGCAAGCTCTTAAAGAAAAGGAATATGGTCAGAGAGGAAATGATGGGTACCTCAGATGTACTTTAACATCCTGCATTTTTAGCTCTTCCTCTGGCACTGTATTGAACTTGCTGTCATCTTGGTAATGATCTAACCAGATCCAGTGGTCTCTTCAGGACTGATTCTTCTACGTGTGTGAGTTAGGGCAAATTACTTAAACATTTAATGCCTCGGTTTTCCTATGTGTACAATGGGTGTAATATCAGCACCTTCTGTTGTCAGAATTATGAATTCTTATATGTAAAGCAATTAAACAGTGTCTGGCTGGCACATGGCAGGCACAATGCAAGGGTACGATATTAACATTTATTGAATGCATGCTGTGTGGCAGGTGCTGTGATAGTGAGTGTTCAGAGAGGAAAGAATATCATTTCTTCCCTCAAGGAGTTTAGAAGTTCTAGTGCTGACCACTCATGCTTAAAACTGTTTCTGGACTTCAGTGACACTAAATTCTTCTAAAGCTCTACCTCGCCTACCTTTCAGGTGCCATTTATTTGTGGTTTCTTTTATACCTGCCGTGGAATCTTTTATCATGGTTATCTCCTTAGATTCTCTCTCTTTTTTTTTTTTTGAAACAGAGTCTCACTGTGTTGCCCGGGCTAGAGTGC